AGGCAGCGCGGCGGGAACGGCCCCGCCGCCAGCGCCGCCGCCGCGGCGCCACAAAGAGCCGCGCCACAGCGCCCCCTGCCGGGCCCCGCGTCGCCGCGGCCCCTCAGGAGCGGGGGGCAGCGGGGAAGGCACCGGAGACCCCCGGGAGCAGCACTCGGCACCGGCCGGCTGGGCCAAGAGGGTGGTGAAGGCGACAAGGCGGCAGTGACCCCGCGGGCGAGGGAGGAGATGTGTTTTTAGGGCCCAGGAGCGCGGAGGGCCCAGGGAGCAAGGAGAGCTCTGAGCACCCACGAAGGCAGAGCCGCTCCACATCCGTGTCAGAAATTAGCATTCGGCCCATTTTCTTGGTGCCTCAGCACAAGGGTCTGGAGGCGAAGAGATTATTTAAAGCAGAAAATTCTGTAACGTAGCCGTGAGCCAGCAGCGAGCACAGGGCTGGAGGGGGCTAAGCTGGAAGGGGAAGCCATACACGGCCCCAGGTCTGCAACCCCGGGCAGGCTCCTCTGTCTGCCCCTGCCTTTCTAGGGAAAGTCCCTTTTCTTCCGAGCAGCTCAGCTGCCTCCTCACTGGGGCTCGGTGGAGGCATCCCCAGCCCGGTCCTGTGTCAGACCGTGCCAGATGGTCAGGAGCTGGTTGTGTATCCATGTTGAAGCAGCCATTATTGCTAAGGGGACCAGCGCTCCCTCCCCGTGTGAGGCTCCGCACTGCTCTCCCACTGCTTTCTCCAGCTCTGGCAGATGCTGTGAGCCACTGAGGGGATGTCAGCGCTCCAAGCAGCGCGGCCCAGGTGGCCCCGGGGCTGTGTCACCTCTGTGGCCCACCTCTGTCACGCCAGGGTGACGCTGAGGCGCGGCACCGCCGAAGCTCCATCGGGAGCAGCTGTGCTGCAGGGATGCAGCCCAGCCCCGCCGCCCACAGCCACACGCTGCCTGCATCTCCTACAGAGCATCCCCTCTGCAGCGTGCACGGCTTTTGTCGTCACACCACACATTTCAGCCTGTCATGCTGCCCCAGTGTCCCTGAGGATGAATACACTCCTGGTGCTGGGAGGAGGGAGGGGGTGTTGGCTGGGCTGTTTGCAGAGAGCTGTGGCAGAGTCAGGTGCTCAGCTCCACTGAGCGTGCCAGGCCTGTGCCTGTGAAAGGACCGTGGTGCAGGCACAGCCTGGCCTCGCTTCCCCTTGCGTAGTCTCTGCTGAGAGCTTTCTGCCATCCCACTTTTCTCCTGCCCTGGATCCTGCGGAGGGAGGGTGGCAGTGAGTGGAGAGGTGACCCTACTGCACGGCGCAACATAACCAGGGCAGCCACAGCTCTGTGCTCCCACTGCAGCCAAATTCAGCATTCTCCTGCCTGGTCCCTAAGTCCCATCCTTCCTCCTACCCTCTCCCCACAGTGCCCCACATGCCAGAGCTTCAAACCCTACCCAGATCTCTCAGGTGTGATCTTACCTAGGCTCCTGCACCAGGAGATACGTGCAGCAGGAAAAGGCAGGTTGGGAAAAAGGGGGGTGTGTTACCAGGGGAAGAAGAGGGGTCCCAATCCTACAGAGCAGATGGAAGAATGGAGAATACTGGTTGTGTATGAGCACCTGGCTCCCAGGCTGAAATCATGGCAAGAATGAGAGAGGCAAAGCCAGAAGGATTGGGGATTCCTCCTCACTCTCATGCTCAGCAGAGCTGCAGCTCTGTACCCTGCTCCCTGCAGCACTGGCTGTTGTGCCCAGCTGTGTGTGGAGCTGCCAGAGCACTCAGTGAGGGCCAGCAAGAGCCTGGGATTTGCATCCAGGCTTTTCATGGAAAGGGACTCACAGAGGCCTGCAGCTTTCTGCAGCCTGCTCTGAACCCAGGAATGCTGCAAGGTGTCTCAAGGCTGGAGAGCTGTCTTGTGTTTGATGGTCTTACCACCCCTAAAATTCACCCTAAAACCCCCCCAGAATCTCCCCACACTGGTCAAACTTTCTGTTGACATATCTTGCAGAGGCTGCCAGGGTTCTGCCATCTATTTGGAAGCCACAGATGCATCAGCTGGGAAGCCTATGGCAAGTCAAGCTGTTCTCATTTTTAACAGCTGCAAGCAGATAAGGCAATGTTTAAAACAAGAAAGCTTTATGGAAACAGCAGCAATCCTCACCTTGGACGAATCACACCTAAGCAAGTAAAGTTTTCAGGCACCTTTGCATGCCTAGCTTGCTTTTTGACATCAGCTGTTGCAGCAAAAGCTGCTCTAGGCTTTTGTTACAGCACAAGGGACCCAGTGCCTCGGGTAGAAAATGTCTGTTTAGGAGGAAAGATAAATCCAGTCTCTTTTGGAGTTCATGAATGGACATACTAAAACCACCCTGACTGCACTAAAGAACAACAGACATGAAAATACTGCTGGTAAATGAAAAACAGAACGGCTGTCAATCAGCACCTGGGGTTTACAGAGCCAGACAAAGAATTACATACCAGAGTAACAGGATTAAGGGGAAGATAAAAGGAATCTTAGCACCAAGACTGAGAAAAAGGGAAATGAGAGGTCACCTGTGCAGAGGAAGAAGAAACATGTTGCATCTGTCATGGAGGAGTCTGCACAAGAGTGCTAGAAGGAGCACAGCAGAGCTCAGATGCACAATTCCCAGGGGTGAGGGGACAGATTCTGCCCAAACCTGAGATGCTGCTTCAAAAAAAGAAGTGTTAGAAGAAAACCACATTGTATACCCAACAAGTTGCTCTTTTGCAGAGATATTTGCTAGTGAAAAACACTCAAAATATTTTCCTTACACACATCTAGACTTGCCTGGTTTCTTGTGGCATATGAGTATTTGTATTTCGATGGGGCAGCTTAAGATGAAAGGTGAAGAGGTCCAGTCCAGTGGCCCAAATCTGAAAAGGGCTCAAACAAATGGTGCAAGAACTGCAGGTACATTTTGCTTTAGGAGTGCCTGCCTAGTCCTTCCAGCTCCTAAAGGCAATGAGGAATGGAGGAAATACAAGCTGGAGCTCTGAATTTCCACATCACCTAGGAGACACCATTTAAGGCAGAAAATCCTCACCACAGCCCAGGAAAAAAAAAAAAAAAAAAAAAAAAAAAAAAAAAAAAAAAAAAAGAGGGAGGAAAAAAAAGGTCCTTGAAAACAGTCTGCCTTTCCTTACCTATTTGTTCCCCAGGCAGAAGAGCCAAAGGACTAGGTAAGACAGTCCTGGCAGAAAATATCCAAGCAATAAGACAGTATCTCAGGGAGATAAAAGTTATTCCTCTAATGTGATTGCTTCTTGTCTGGTGTAAAAGATTCTGCAGCCAGACTGCCAGCCTAAGAGAAAAATATCCTGTGTAAAAGGATATAACTTGCCATCAGCTTTTATCCTCTCTTGTCCACCAAGACCTTGCTGTTTAGCTTTCACTGAATATCTGTTTTACCAACCAATTCAGAACTAGGGAGTTTTAACATTTTAACTTTGCAAGAACCCAAAAATTAACTAAGTTTTGAGGCTTGTGGATTTTTTGACCCAAGTTGTCACAGTGGGTGAACTGGAAGTGACCATCACAGATTCCAGATATCTTTGTGATCAAAAGCAGCTGTTCTTTGAGGATTGATTTAAAAAACAAAACAAAACCCAAATAAAAAAATAAAAACACACCACCTCGTGGAAGAAGTTTGGGTTGTGTGCAAACAGTTTCTTCCAAAGCTTGAAAGCAAGTTGGTCAGGAAACAATGGCACAGGGCCGTCCTTTCCCAAATAATGAGAGGCAACTCCTCAGCTCCACAATCATGCACTATTCAATTGAGCTGACTGAGTTCAGTTTGGACCTGGTTTTAATCAGCAAAGACATTGAGCTCTGCTGATTTGATCTGGCTTTTCCCCCTGCTCCCCAAACACTCCAGGAGCACAGAGATGGTTGTTTCTGTCACATGCTGTCATCTGGGTATCCCTTAAAAATAAAAGGACTGAGCATTCCTAGAATCTTGGGGTCACCCCTACAACATCTGCTTCTCACTCATCTCTTTCTTTTTGGTCAATTCTCTATCTTCCCATTACTCTCCATTACACTGTATTAAGATATTATATTAAAAATATTCTACAGGAATAAGCCCACAGCATGAGCAACCTGGCTTCAGGACACAACCTAGTTGTCCTCATGTTCTCATTACCTGAGAGAAAGAAATGTGGCACGAGAAGAAAGCAGAGAGGATTAGAGGAGAATGTGGCAATCACCAGATCTACTCATCTCCACCCCTGCTCCCAGCAGCTGCACCACTGAGCCCTTCAAATATTTTTCAGAAGTTTGATGGGGATTTCTTTTCTCCTGCTACTCCTAACCCAGCAGTGACAAATCCAGCCTCTAGAAAAGCACATTTTTCACTCAGGACTCCACCCCACATCTTCCACACATCCCTGGGCTGTTCCAGCTCCAGCAGCTCCAAAGAGCAAGGCCCTTTGTACCTCCTACTTCACCAAGGTGCTGTAAGTGTCAGATATATTTAAGAGCATGAAGCATTCAGATACTATGGAAACCAGGGCAAGAGAAAAACCAAAAATAGATGGAAGACGCAAGCTGTTGTAAGGTCTGGAAAAGCCTTGCTGAGGAAGGCAGTGCTTGCTGCAGCTGATTGCAGAGTGGGATCCATTTAGAGCTCGAGCATAAAATATCCTCTCTCCAATCTTTCTGTAGTTTGTCATTTTTCTCTGCCACAGGGAAAGGGATATTCTTTAACTTCCCCTCTATTTAACAGGCCTCCTAATTAGCAGTTCCTTTGAATGATTCATATTCTAGCGTGCCCTTCCCATGACCTGGAGTAGACTGCTGCCTGACTGCTTCTGTAGAGCAGGAGTATTTAGGAACACACCATGAGAAAAAACCACCACAGAGCACTCTCCTAAAAAGGAAATCCAACAGCAACCTACAGAGAAGGGTGCCTAAGAGTTGTTTGTCTGCCTCTCCTTTTAATAATCCTTTTAATCTCTACAGAAACCAGTTGCTAAAGTAGAATAATACCTTCACTGAAAAAACCCAGAATGGCACGTGGAGGAAACAGAGAGGATGCCAGCATGAGGAGTACAAGCCATCTGACTCCAAGATGGTCAGTCAAATGGAAGTCAGTATCAGCACTTCAGCACCCCCATCAAGAACTAGTCAATGCTAGCACAGAAGCACCATCTGAGAATAAAATCTTCAATTGCCTTTCACGAGTCCCACAGCCCTTACAGGCAATTCTCTGGTACAAATTCCCAGTCTCTCAGTGTGGCATGCAGAGGTCTCCCTGCACTGAGAGCCAGGCTAAGCTGGAGTGGGGTGGCTGCCACAGCCCCAGTCTCCATCCAGGGAAGGCAGCTGCACCTTCTTCTTCTCTTTCACAGCCTGCTTCCTGTGAGCAAAGAACTCCCTGCTGTCCACAGTGACCTTCCCTTCAAAGAGGGCACTGACATAATTATAGGTGATCTCAAAGGTCTTTTCCATCCTAGTTAATTCTGTGATTCTGTGATAATGACATGACAGAGCCTGTGTTAAACCCAGCCTGCAATGAGCTGCCCCTCAGCCCGTACGGTTTTGCTCCGTGTGCCAGAGGGCTGTGAGGGCACAGTGGGCACCCCAGCTCCAAAAATGCACTGTTACAAGCAGAGGAGGTAGAGGGGAGACTTGTGTAGAGAGAACATTGATGATACATTTCTAGAGCAGCTCTTTGCTCTCCATCACTGCAATACTCCCTCCTCTTCACTGCCTTGTCCCAGCGTCTCTTCTGCCACCTTTGTTTTCAACCTTTCCTTTGACTTAGAAGACATTTCTTTATTTTCTAGAAAGACACGTCACCACTTTGAACAGCCTGGTGTGAGGAGCCAGGACCTCCTGGCACCTCAGCATCCTCCTGGCACCTTGGCACCCTCCTGGCACCTCAGCATCCTCCTGGCACCTTGGCACCCTCCTGGCACCTTGCCATCCTCCTGGCACCGCAGCATCCCCAGCAGCAGCCCCAGGGACCCGCGGACAGGCAGCCACGTGTCCCCGCTGCTGGCAGGGAAGCAGAGAAGGAAGCAGAGCCCTGGAACAGCTGGAACGGGGCTGTCGAGCCCACACCTGCCCTGCAGCGTGCCAGGGCCGAGCCCTGCTTGGCATCTGGGGCTGCCGTGCCCCGCCTGTGCCAGAGGGCTGCGAGTTTGGGCACCCCAGCTCATGGGCACCCCAGAAATGCACTGTGAGTTTGGGTACCCCAGCTCCAGAAGTGCACTGTTACAAGCAGAGGAGGTAGAGGGGAGACCTGTGTAGAGAGAACAATGATGACACGTTTCCAGAGCTGGGAACAGCGGCAGAGCCGGGCTGGGGATGGCACTGGGAGATGCTCCTGTTGCCTCGGGACCTGCGGGCACTGTGGATGTGACAGCCTGGTCAGAGAGCAAGGAAAGCAGGTAAGTCTTCCCAGAACTGGCCTGCGAGACTATAGGGAGCTGGAGATAAACAATGATCACCAATTATTAAAAACAACCTGCAGGTGTTGTTTTCCTAATATCTGTTCTCTTGTTATTCTCATAAGATTGGTTATAAATGGGCATCTTGTTAATTAGCTAATCACGGAATCACTGGGTTGGAAGAGACCTTCAAGCTCATCGAGTCCAACCCAGCCCCAACACCTCAACTAAACCCTGGCCCCCAGTGCCACATCCAGGCTTTGTTAAACACACCCAGGGATGGTGACTGCACCACCTCCCCGGGCAGCCATTCCAGAACTTTATCACCCTTTCTGTGAAAACCTTTTTCCTAATATGCAACTTGAATTTCCCTTGGTGCAGCTTGAGACTGTGTCCTGTGGTTCTGTCAGTGCTGCCTGGAGAAAGAGCCCAGCCCCAGATGAGCACAGGCACCTTCCAGGAGTGATGAGGGCACCTCTGAGTCTCCTTTTCTCCAGGCTGAGCACCCCCAGCTCCCTCAGCCGTTCCTCAAATGTATTTTGAGGATACCTGATTTTCAATCAGGTGAAATGCATTGATTAAATGACCAGTCAGGTCCATCTGTATCAACCAGTGTATAAAATAAGTGGTTCCAAGTAAAGACATGTGCTTATGCCACTCAGCCTTCTGATGACTCTGTCATTTCTTATTAAATAGTGACAAAGGGCTGTGTGTGTCACCACCCTGTGTCACCGTGAGGACACTGCTCAGCCCCACACACTGCTGGTGCTGGAAGGGTTTCTTTCCCAAGGAGAACCCCTCAGGGTTCTGGTGCTGAACTCAGCATCAGGGTGAGCACATCCAGCTCTCCCCTTCTGCCACTCCACTCCTCTGACCACGACTCCAACAAACTCATGCCCAGGGAACAGATCTCTTGCAATGCTTGTAATTGGAATAAATAGTTTAGTGTTCAAATAGGCATTGGGTAAGGACAACAATCTCCATGAGCACACAGTCCTGGCTGCTGAGGTAAGCAGTTTTTCACAGTACCAAAGCTGTTTTGCATAGAATCTTTAATTGCTTCACATGAGCACAAACCTTCGGAATAAACAGGAATTTGCTCACCTCAAGGTGCTGGAATCATGCTTGGAGTGTGTAAATGTTTTCTGTCACTATTTTACACTTTGACTAGACTGGATGAAGCTTTTAAATACATAGATTTTCTCCCATTTTGTAGAGGTGTCTATTCCTCTAAATAATGCAAGGAGATTCCATTTTTGTGAGCAAATAGATCTCTGACAAATCTATGCATCAAACCTATTAACTTGGTTTATTTTCCAAGGGAAAAAGGGACAAACAAATAAAAAACCCGAAGTTAAAATACTTAAATATTATTACATTTACAGTCCTAAAATATGTAAATCAACTGCATTGAATTTTCTATTAGCTTTTAAATATTCACCTCAATATACATTTGTTCTTCAGGGCACACAGGAGATAAATAATTGAGTTAACATTGCTAGATAAATCAAATCATTTTCCTGAGCTGCAAATATTCCAGATTATAACCTTGGAGTTGCTATGCAGTAACTACAAATAGAAACTAAACAGATTAAAGTGAGCAAGCAGGAGTCTACAGTCAAGTACCCAGAGGCCCAATTTTCTGAGACATCCAGGAGCAGCCCCAGCATTTCAGATTGGTGAGTCAAGACCAAATGAAATGTGAAACCCAGCTTAAACACGGGGTGCAGGAGCAGCCTGGGAATTGGGCTTGGGCCATGAACAATGTAAGAGCATGAGATTTAAAACAAACAAAACACCCTCAAAACCAAGCCCCACAGCAATTTTGGGTATAGCTGTGGTTTTGAGTGTCTAAATAGATTGTGGTGACTTTCAGCCACAGATAGTGGGAGACCTAATTCCATTCTGGCTTCAGGATTTTCTCTGCACTGAGTAGAGTTCATATTGCACAGCATTACTTCTCTCCCAACAATAAACCAACCCCTCTCATTTGGGGGATGAACTACAATAATCCAAATTACTCCCAAACAATTCCCAATAATGTCCATGCAGGTGGAAGTGGGCAGAAGGAATTAACAGCTTCAGTTAAACCCTGATGGAAAACCAGTTCTTTGTGAGCTGCAGACTCTGACAGCACCAGGACAACGGGTGAAGTCAGATAAATAGCAAAGAAAATGGATTTCTGGCTAGAAGTACCAACTGTTAGCCACTTGTGTGGATGTGGATATAATGCTTTCCATGCTCTTCCCTACAGGCCAGGCAAACTCCTCAGAAAAAGAGGATAGGTAAAAATAAGGGCAATAAGAATCAGCTACACAGCTCTTCTGGAACATTGTGGAGAACTTTTATTTTATCATTGCATTTCTGCCTTTGTGTTGGTGGCTGAATTGATCAGTTATGCTGCAGTGCAGATCAGCTCCAGGGGCTCTTTGCAAGCTTCTCTGTTGACTTACCTAAGGAAACAACAATGTGGGAACTAAGTTCAATCCCAGGATGGGCCCTTTGCTCCAGCTACGAGGAAGTTGGGATTTAAATTCAATCCCAGGATGGGCACTCTGCTCCAGCTACGAGGAAGTTGGGATTTGACTAGCTCAGATTTGAGCATTTATGTTTCAGTGCACGTGCACTTTGATCAAAAGCAAAAACTCTTTTTATCTGTTGTAAAAACTACTTTTTATGGCAGCCAGGGAGAGAGACACAAAAGGATTACAGGACAAACTACCATTGTGTGGGAGAGAGCAATGTGCCATCCCAACTGCCCCTCAGGTTTATGAACTCTCCTCATTCATCTTACCCATCTTTATTTTAGGTTGTTTCCACTGGCTTCTGGCACTGCATCAGGAGTGTTAACAGTTCACTGCTGAGACCACACAGAGCTAAGGTGTTTTCTTTGTGCTACAGCCTCTGCAAACAGACTGGGTGGAAGTTTTTGATTCTGAACTTTGAGCTGCTCATCTGGAAGACTGAAGGCTGACAGTTTCCACAGCAAGGAACAAGCCCCAGGTCTGTTCTGTCACTCTTGCCCACTACTGCCAAATTTTACACACATCAACTCAAGCTGCAGCAGCATTGCTAATATTATTTTCCTATTTTTCTCAGCAAAGTAATGGAGTTAATCATTAAGACTGGTGAAATAATCTGCTAGACTGGAGGGAACACCACCTCCTGAAGTGTAACACACCAGAAATGGATGCTGCAGCTGGAGGACTCAAACTACTCCGATATTCAGAGCCTACAGAGTTCTTCAGAGAGCCACTGTACCATCCATGTTCTGAACCTAGCCAGCCCAGGGCATGCAGCTCCCCAGGGCACAGCAGATGCAGTCTCTAAGGGCAGAGCATAAAAACCAGTGGAAAACAATCAAGGCTTGCCTTTCAGCCACTCCAGCAACTTCTGAAGTCATTATAAATTCATTTGGCAGAGGAGTGCCATGAGCACTTCATGCATGCAGAGAGACACATTTCAAATGAGCACTCAAAAGATGAGGAAAAGGCAGATTTCCCAGTGTGGCTGATAGTTCTGGAGTGCTTGGCACCATGCTGGCACCACGGTGAGCCACTGACACCAGCAGGCTTTCCTGGAAAAGACAAGACCTTTTAAAAAACAAATTGCTACATATTTAAAGTAGCAGAAAGGACAAATCATGGGATAAGGGTACTCCAGGAAGCAGATTACAGTAAAATAAACAAAGGAGGATGGAAATCAGTGCTTTGGTGCCCATCCAAAGGACAGTGACTGGTCACAACAACCCCTTTTCTGACAAGCATGTGCAGAGCAGGTGTGTGCAGACAGGAATCCACAGCTGGAATTTTCCTTGCATTCAAAAGAAAAAAGGTCCACCTCAATTCGAATTAGCTTTTCAGCCTCTGTAAGTTATGCTGCTTTAATTAAAAGTAGTAGCTTAAATTTTTTAAAAACTGTCACTGTGGCATGTGAAGAGAGCTCATGTACACAGAAGAGGTTACAGAAAAGGACTCAAAACTTGCTGGGTGGCAGGACAGTGCTCAGGGTTATCTTCTAGACCTACAGCTAGCCTAGGGCTTGTAGTATTTCAATAAATTTTCCACGTCTGAGCTGCTCTTCTCTCGTTATAAACAGAACCAGCTTGTGTAAGTACATGGCAGCACAGAACATGATCCTGCAGCAGCTGGAGTAGGGAACACCCCTCAAAAATCAAGCAAGAGTTTAGCACAGAGTGGTGGCAGCTGTGAACTGTTCAAGGACCAAAAACCTCCAGAGAAATCAAATACACAGCCAAATGCATCCTGCAAGAGAGACAGGACAGAACCTGTCCCAGCAGAACCCTCATGCCAGAACCCCATCTTAATCTTTCCTCATCCTGGTAATAACACTCAAGATCACTCCCAGTGCACCTCCTGAAAGGGGGTGAGTTTGAACAAAATGCAAGAAGGTGCTTGCTGCAGACATTGCTTGCTCAGCACAACTCCCTGAAGCCAGGCAGTGAACTCAAGGAAGAGGTGCCATAAGGAAACATGCTAATTGCATTCTCTTTAATTTGCATGTGCACTTTTTGGTTTTTTCTTTTAAACAACTGCTCCAAGTCCTTGTTTGCTGGGCAGAGATACCATGTCAGGCTGTAGTTTCAGTTTGCAGGCTGGCTGTGTGACAGTGTCCATGAAGGTGCTGGACTTTGGGTGACACTCAGAGAAGCTGCCCAAAATCAGACTGCAGGAATTGCTGAAGTCTCTCAGCCTCTCCCTCACCCAAATGCAAAGGAAAACCAGACATGGTGCAAGTCAGGGGAAGAAGGTGAAGAAAAGCACTTCAAAGGTGCACAAGAGTTAAAATTTCATTTTCTTTATGCCTTCCTCCCCTCTATACAGTAGCAGAGAGGAGACAAAGGAAAAGGAACAGCAGGGTTCAGTGGAAGGCAGAAGGTTCCCAATGGGCTCACCGATGGCTCAGTGCTGCTGGGTGGGGGGACTTGGTGCTTCACTGCTGCTTGGTTTTAAGGGATAATCTCTGTATCATCTTGTAAAGGAGACCAAAGTGCTGGAAACAGAAGGGAAAAAAAGTAACTGTGACAGTTCTAAACACACAGCTTAGCAGAAGGCTTAAAACAATACCAGTGTGCAAATGCAGAGCCTTGTTTGCATCAACCACTCATCCTGAAGATGGAGTGGGACTTGATGGATGAGGAATTATGACAAGGAAGCCAAGTTATACAGAAAATGATGGCTTACAGAAGTGTTTGTGCAGGTCTGTATCACCTCATTGTGAAGATGTGTTAAAGATTTTTTTAGTTTTCATTTTTAATGCAATTCTGTTCCTTCTGAAGGTGAGGAGAAAGCTTCAGATTTCAACACATGCAGGTTCCTGGTCTCTATAGAAACACTGCTGCCAGCAGTTTCAGGAAGGTAAAAATGAACCAGGCAAACAGAGATTCCCAGCAATTCACAATTCTTTAACTGGATCTTCTCTTTCACCATTTCCCCAGTGACTTAGAAATTCACTTAATTCTTCTTTTGATTTTGCTGGGGTTGATTGTATTTTGATTTGATATTTGACAGAGGTAACAAGATTCAGGCTTCAAATAATTTCAAATTCAAATAACAGAACTAATGAAGATTGCTAATAGAAATCAAAGTATGTTTTTCCCTTTGTTTATATTCTTACACATTTAAAATGCTTGTCATTTCCCTTAACAAATAATAGATACAAATAACACAAAGTGGTCAAAATTGAGAGTGACCTAAAAAGCTTCCCTTTCATTCATGTCCTTCATGACCCCAGGCAGGAACAAAGCCTTGCTCACACTGTCTTGGTTAACACTGACACAAAAACATTAAATTTGGCTGGCCAAGGCATGGAGTATCACATTTCCAGAGGTATGGACACAGGATGTATTTCTGGCTTCATTGAAAAAAGAAAGCAGAATTCTGAAGATGCATTTCTAAGCTGCATCCCAAGTTCAAATATTTCCTAATAGTACAAGCTGCAAACCTTTAAATTACCAAGGTAACTAAAATTTGTTGTAAAGTTTCAGTTTGGAGCCAAAATAGATTAGCAAGTGAGTTATGCATGTCCCTGAGTACAAGAAGCAGCTCTAAAGAACAGGTTTGCACTAGAATGGCAAGAGACTGCCTGCAGCACAGGTAAGTGGCATTATTGTTCCAGCTTTAGTGCTGACACTGTGTGAATTCCTGAATCTAACTTGTTTTATAAGGAAAATAATGTATCTGTGTCTCTTACCTGCACTGCAACATAGGCAACACCAAGGTAGGCTGCAATACAGACAGCCAGGAGCAGGTCAAAGATTGCTGGCTTGACCCTGGAATAAGGAAAAGTGCACATGAAATTGCTACAGCAGTTCCTGCCAGGGGGTGAGACAACAGCCCAGCATGCCCAAGGGAATTCCATACCTGTATGCATTCATCACCTGCTTCAGCTGGTCATAGAAAACAAACTCAGGGTCCCTGTGCAAAGGAGAAATTTTTCAGATTCTGTTGCATTTCTTTTTTGTTGTCAAGACCCTGCAGTCAGGACAGCCCAGAGCTGCTCCCAAGTTTATCCAACCAGGCAAGTATGACCACCCCCAACACTGGTTTTGAGCTGGTTTTAGTCATCAGGACTTTCTTTTCCTACTATCAGAAGCCCAAGGACATAATTCAGAACTCATGCTGGTGTTCAGCTGTCTCCAAAGAGGCTGAACATCAAAGATTCCTCCCTCTGTTCACTAAAACAGCTTCAGCTCGAGCAGCTTCAACAGGATGGAAGCTGCCTTTTTGTAATTAACCAAAACTTAGCCCTCTCCTGCTCTCAGACTGTGAACAGTGGAACCAAAACAGTTTAAAAACAAGCTTTTCAGACAGAGGGAGCTGCTGGGCCTTGTTCCTGTGCTGTGAGGAATCACGAGCAGCTTTCTCTGTGAGAACACCAAGCATGAACCAAAACTGACAGGAGAGCAGAAAAGAACAAAGCTGCATGTCAAGAACCCAGGAAAGCTGCAGCTCAGAGACAAAATTCTGTCCAGGGAGAAGCCAGTTTGCATGCCCTGGCTGGTTCTTTCACGTCTTTTCTTACCGTTTGTCTGCCTTCACATGGTGCTGCTTGACATCCTTCAGGTAACGTCCCATATAATATTCTAAGGTGTTGAGGAAGGTGCTGTCCTTATCAATCAGCTGGGCAGCCCTGGGCTGACTGCTCAGCCAGTCCATCACTGACTCCAGTTGCTCCTGCTGGATTTCCTGCAGAAAAATACCACCAGAGAAAGGGAGTCAAGCACACATCAGAGCTCTCTCCCAGACTCTAGGTTCCACAGGTTACAAAAATAATGTACTGTGCTTACCATCTGATCTGTGAAGATCTGCATATCTGCAGGTGCTCCCTGCAACAGAAAATGGAATAAAAAGCCAACCCAGGTTATTTTTGAGCTTGGCTGGGCAGGACAAGTCTGGCCAGCACTGCATGGTGGGCACCTCTTACCTTTTCTGTTAGATTGTAGATGACCCTTGTCAAAGCCTCAGCAATGATCTGAGTATTCCTGGTCAGTGCTTTAGTGTCTATTCGTGCCCTAAAACAAAAGAGAAGATCATGGGCTTGCAATGGCATCAACTTCCTCCAGAAACAACCCCTTTTCACTGAGCCTGAATCCAGAGCCCAACTCCCACCGTCTGTCACCTGTGCCCTGACCATGAGAACACCACGAGCAGTTGTGAGGGCAGGTTTCTGGGCTGGATTTGAAGCCCAGCCCTGCCTGCCCAGGGCCCCTCACCTCCTGTCCATGATGCTGTTGCGCAGGCTGTCCCGGTGGCTCTCCAGGTGTGAGATGGTGAACGCCGGCAAGCGCCGGATGGCGAAGCGCTCGTGCTCCCACGCCAGCATGTCCTCTGCCAGGTTGATCTTCTTGTGCACCATGGAGAACTTCACCTCTGGGAACTGGCTGGCAACAACCTGAGGACAAGGGGAGGCCATTCAGGGGTGCTGCCCGCTGCAGAGTCCCACCCTGCACTGCCCTGTCTGCCTACACCCATTTCTGTGTGCTCCAGAACATGAGGTGCAGTTATTGACATTATTAAAGCTGGATTTTCAGGTCAAAAAGAGCAGTTTTAATGTCTGTACAGGGTAGCATTTGCAGATCTAGTCTGCTTCACTTGGGACTGTGGCATGAGGATTTGTATGCACTTCAAATCAAGTGATTCTAAACAACACATGAATTATTTCAATAGCACACCCTTTCTTCACATCTTCCTTCCTCTCATGGAGAGCTGTATAGTAAGTCCCAAGTTCCCGTGAACCTAAAAAGCTTTTCCTTACCATCTCCAGTTCTCTCAGAAATGCATGCTGCAGGGTGCCCTCCTTGGGAGGCTTTGAGACATGAAGATGAAGGCTATTGCCTCTGCCCAGAGTGTCAAGGCAGAGAACAAATGCTACATTGTCCTGCAGAAGGCTGGAATCTGGAACAGAAAAATCCAAACGTTTATTGCTACATCTTGTGCTGGGATTTCCACCCCCCTAAAAAAGGAAGGCTCACAGAAAAAGATTCTCACAGGAGAGCTGACAATTAATTATAGACTTTTAACACAACCAGCCCCTTACTCACCAGTGTGGTCCAAATTATCCTCCAGCCACCGCTTAGTTCCTTGATAATTAAACTTGCCACCTCCAGATGCAAAGAACAGCAAGTTATACCTGCCCATCAAAGAAGCCAGAAAAGGGTTAGCATGCTGCACTCCAAGAATTCCTGCACTCAGCCTTTAGGTGTGGTGAAATGACAACCACTTGCACCTGACATCCAAGGCAAACTGTCCATTAACACTTCCCACATGGCACATACTCAGGTAATGGCAGGACAAATTGAAAGTGGGGAGCTCCCAGTGCTTGAGGATGGAATCTGCTTCCCACATCATCCCCTCCACGTGTCAGCTACACACATCTAACCCCAAACAGAGCAGTTCCTCACCCAGCATGGGTCCTTCTGTAGGTGTAGAGCCGAGAGAACAGCCTGGCCAGTTCCAGCAGCACTGAGATTCCACTGCCATTGGAGTCAGCCCCATGGGACAGCCACTGCAGGATGAGGTGGGACAGACACAAGGTGACAAACTACCCTGACTCTCAGCTATTAGAACAGCACAGCACTGTGCTCCACTTGTAACTGCCCCACAGCCTTAATGCCAAGACACATGGGCAGAGGGAAAAGGAACAGAGAGCTGCAGGAAAAGAATACTCACTGGAGCCACTCCAAAGGAATCATAGTGAGCAACTATCACAACAGTGGGCAGGTCTTCTCCACCCAGCCCTGTCAGCCTTCCCTGAAGAGGAAAGAGAGCAGTGTCACTCCTCATCACCTCTTGTGTGCCTGTACAAGGACAGCCTGACTTCTACATTCCTGCTGAATCTGCTATGGCCTCAGTTGTGAGGACTTCAGATACCTGACTGAGACTCCCCTGACTTGCCCTGTCAGACCAAACATGTGATAAAGTCCCAATAAAAGAAGTCACCTCATCAGTGTTGCCAGGTTGAATCCATACACAACTCACCTCCACACTGGGGATGAGCCAGTCATTGATAGCTTTGCTTTGAGCCCCACTGGTCACCATCTGGAAGCCATTGGCAGTTGCTGTGTGCAGCAGAACTGAAACAAAAACACAAAAAAACCCCACATTGTACACCTGGGGAAGTTTCATCTCTTCCTTTCCCCTGCTAACTGAGCTTTGAGAGACCAGCTTTAAACCATTTAAGCCCTCACACTTGTAACTGGTGTTTATGCAATGACACAGAATCTTGGTGCTTTTTCATTCTGTCCTAAAATCCCAGTATTTTGGCTGGTCAAAAACTTTTCCTGAGCAGTACTAAAATTAGTCATAAGCAGCAGGTCCATAAGTCAGTCATATTATTTACATGGAAGCATGAAACTGACTTGTGGTCAGACAAAAAGCTTCAGCTTCCACCAACACACCATCATCACTTAACATTTTCAATATTGATTTAACCTAGTTTTGATTTCTACCTTACTTGAAACAGTGTGAAGCTGAGAGCTTCCTGCAACTGTATGTCCAAATATAGTCAAATAATGCTTTCTTATACTGTGCTTTTCTTCCACTGAATCTCTAAACACTTTGACAAAGACAGAATAAACACAAAGGCGACAGAGCACTGGTTCATGGTGCAGATGACACAGCAGACTCCTCCCAGAGGTGGGAACAGGCCTGTCTTCCTCAAAACTTTTTCCTCCTTGTTAGAACTCACCTTCTGCAGCAGAGGCAGAACCCTGTGATGCAGAAGCAGCCCGTGTTTGCTCATAGATAGACAGCAGCTCCTCATCCTCCACTGCGAAGTAGACTGGCACAATGGTTTCCATAGCAAGCATTTCTGGCTCTATCTCCATGAATTGCTGAAGATTTAAGTGAGACACAAACTTAGCATCTGCTGAACACAAGAGGTGTCAAAAAAAAAAAAAAATCAACAACCAAAGCAGAGAGAGAAGTTTTAGAATCAAAATACAATTTATTGTGCATTACAACAGAATCTTCCAGCCCTTCAGCAACCAAGCTTTTCTCCAATGCACCTCCCACGGGAAGGGAAAGAAAACTTTTTTGTTTACCCTCACGACATCCTGGGGGACAGAGGAGATGGATCGTGGCAGGATGATCACCACAGCCCCGGCTGACTGGCGCAGAGCCTTCTGGTACTGCTCGTAGGAGAAGTCCACCAGCCTCATCATGACGCAGCGGCGGCTCAGCACGTCCGCTTCCACGGTGCGCGCCTCCGTGTTCAGCACGGCGCTCCTGGTGCCTGCCAGCAGGGAAAGCAGGAGGGCTGCTAAGGCACTGCACCCCATCCCCCTTGCTCAGCCTGCCTCCTGCTCACAACGCTCCTGGGGACAGTCTGATGGGCTGCAGAGAGGCCAGAAGCTGCAGAAAGCTGAGTTCGCCTCTTCGTCCTCATCTGAGAGGGAGCAGAGGCCTGCGGGTTTTCCTGTGCAGCCACACCCTGCCAGACCCCTTGTTCCACACCCCACAGCCTCACCTTCCAGTCTAAATCCTGCCAGACCCCCTTGTTCCACACCCCACAGCCTCACCTTCCAGTCTTCCTCCTCAACACAACACACAGGTTACCTGTCTGCTCACCTGCACCTAATAAAAACACACCTGGACACAGCCTGGCTCTCCAGAGCCTCCCCCAGCTGGAGGATCAAGCTGCAGAAGCCCCTGATGAAAGGACACCAGACTGGCCCATGTCACCCCGAGGGCTGCTCTCACTCAGCCCCAAGGAAGGTTCTGGAGCTGGCAGAGTTACAGAGGAGCAGGCTGCTCCTGAGGGCTGGCCCTCTCCTGCTCTCAGTTCCAGCAGATCAAATCCCCCACGTGGAAATGCAATCCCCTGGGAGCACAGCAGGCTTGCCAGAAGCTCCTGCATTCCCCAAGGGAGGGCCAAAAGGACATCTTCTGCAAATAGAGAGGGTCAAATCCACCTTACAATTTATAATTCAATTTATTTTTCTATAACTCTGGCACCTCCACTGGAGAGCTCACCATTCTGGGTCCCCACACAGGGACAGACAAGGTGCTCCAGCCCCTGTCAAACAGGAGCACTGCTAAGAACTGGATTTAAACCTGGCTTAGCTTAACTCTAACATTAGTTTGGTCTTGTTAAAGGTCACAGAAACACCTAAACAAGAAAAATCTTCATTTCCCCTGCATACTACCCAGAAACAGAGGCCAGGCACAATGGGAACTCTCCCCACAGACCTCTGACACTAAACAAACAAACACTAACAGCATTCCCAGTCCAACCAGAGAAAAACAATTCAAAATGGGGATAATCCCTCCACCATTCCCAAAGGAATGATGCATAAACACAGCAACGTGTGCACCTGAAGTTCTGCTCTCTCTGACATCCAAGCAGAGCACACTCAACAGTATTTTCCTGACAGGTTCATTCTCTGTAGCTTCTCTACAGAGAACTGGTTAGGAATCACTCATTTACAAACTAAAGAATTCTCATTCTATCAGCATTAGAGGAAGTCCAAGCTTGTTCTTAAATTGCTCTGTGAGTGATACCGACAAAAAACTCTTCCCTCTGCAAGAAGAGGCTGAGCAGCAACCTGTTACTGGGTATTTTTGGAAAATAATACAAGATCTGGAAGAACAAATCAGCTCAGTTGGTCAGATCATGGTGCTAATAACACCAGGGTTATGGGTTTGATCCCTCTGTGGGTCATTCCCTTTGAGAGTTGGACTCTGTGCTTCTTGTGGGTCCCTTCCAACTCAGACTGCTCTGAAATGCAGCTTTTATCCTGAAGGACATCTCAGAACACACAAGGAACAGGAACAGCAGCAGTACCCTTCCTGTCCCAGGAAGGAACAAAGGAAACACACAGCCCACCGAGCTAAAAGGCTCCAGGAAAAGAAACAGCAGAAAAAGTTAACTGGAAGCATCTTAAAAAAATAACACCTGGCTTTTCAAGAGGTCACAAAATTGTGAGCTGAACCACATCCCTGCTAAGCCTGTCAACAAACAGCTCCCAGCACCTGAGCAAAGAGAGAGAGTCCTACCCCCATGCAGGGCCTGCCCTGGAGCTCCTGAGGCTGTCAGCAAGATGTGGACACCTTCTGAGAAACTGTGATGGAAGAACCCAGAAAGAATTTCATTTATTTAGAAGCCAGCAGAAGAGTGAAGCGTTTAAGAAGTACACAGGCACAGCTGCATTTCATATCTTACATATTTGAACTTATTAAGATCTGAAAGAATGAGAGATGGTGTCTCACGGACAGCACAAATTAAACGTGAGGCTGTTCATTGTTAGCTCTATAGGAAGAGTCACCCACAGACAGAACACATGGCCTGGCCTGGAATAAAATCACTACAGAAGACCCAGAAACAACCTTTGATTCTGGGTTTGTGGGCACACAGGGGAGGAGGCTGAGGGCTGCAACACCTCAAGGACTTGCAGAACAGGGTGTGTCTCTGACCCAGAGAAAGGTGTTGCACAATCAGCAGGCTGCAAGTGAGAGAACTGAGGAAGTAAAGGTCAGTTCTAACACAGGGGAAGGACGGGCTCTGAAATGGAGCCACTGGAGCAACACAGAGCTGAGGATGAAGAGGATGAGGAGCAAAGAGGAATCAACCTGTCAATAAACGAGTCAAAGGCAGAAGGACAAAGCTGAGCCCACAACCGAGGTTACCAGGACACAGGAGGGATGCAGCAGTCCCCCAGGACCCAGAGCCCCCAGCCCACACCCAGGGCTCCTTGGCTACCTCTAGGTCACCACGATGGAGCTCCCGGCCCCTCTCCCGCTCGTGCTGAGCCTGGGCAGTGAAACCCGGCCCGACGGGGCCCTCCTGCGGCCTGCCCCGGGGCTGGGCCTGGCCCCGGGCCCGGCTGCTGCCGCCTCCCAGAGCCCCCCGAGCCCACCCGAGCCCTCCCCTAGGCCGGGCCGCCCTCCACGGGCCGCCCGCGGCTTCACGGCCTACCCTGGGCTGCTCCCCGGGCTCGGCGCTCCCTTCCCAGGCCCCACCACCCCTGAAGGAGCCGCTGCCGGCAGCACCGAGCCCGGCCGGGCCGTGCAGTTCCTCACCGTAGGGCTGCCCGCCCAGCTCATACTGCTGCATGCGGTAGACCGTGAACTCGTGCGCCGCCTCGGCGGCGGGGGGCGGCCCCAGGAGCAGGAGCACGGCGGGCACGAAGAGCAGGACGCTGAGCGGGAGGCACGAGGCCTTCAGCACCGACTCCAGCACCTCGCCCGCCTCCTCCAGCATCGCCGCGGCCCCGGCCCGCACTGCGGCCTGCTCGGCACGCACGGCGCGCCCCGCGCGGCACGCCGGGACCCGTAGTTCGCTCGCCGCCGCGAGGGGCGCTGGGAATTGTAGTCGCGGCAGACCGTGCTGGCCGCGGTACCGCCCCGCCTTGGCCTGCAGGGGGCGCGCTCCTCACGGAGCTCCGGGCGCCCCCCAGCGGATGGGATGGGATGGGATCCATGGGATGGGATAGGACAGGATTCATGGGATGGGATGGGACAGGATGGGGTGAACAGGATGGAGCAGGATGGGATGAATGGGACAGGACAGGACAGGATGGGATGAACAGGACCAGGCAGGAGGCTCCTGCTGCCCCCTGAGCAGGGCAATCCCCCTGTCCCGAGAACAGGAGGGCAGCTCCAGCTGTTCCCAGACTACAAAAACATCCCCCAGGCAGTACCTGGCCTCCAGAGGAAAAAAATCTAAGGAAATCAACCCAAGGCTTTCTGATCACCTTGATTTATTGCAAAACAAATGGGCTGCACACTCAGCTCTTGCAGAGGGGCTGGGCCAGCAGGATTTATGTGAGTCCCCAGTGCTTTGGTGGCCTTCTGGCACGGTGAGAGGAGGCATTTGGGTGCTGCTCTGGTGATTCCCTACATGGGAGAAGAGAGAGAAGAGCAGGGATCTGAGGCACAAGCTGGCTGTGTCCTCAGGTCCAGGATGGCACCAGGCTCCCCAGTCTCCTTCTGCCCGTGCCAGTGCCAGCCCTGTCACTGCAGCTCTGAGCACGGTCACAGCATTTGCCCTGGCTCAGTGCCCAGCCTCTGCACCCTGGGGAGAGTCTGGGCTGTGGCTGCAGCCCTCCGCCATCCTCAGGCTGGGCAGAACATCAAGCTTGCATTCCTTCCCAGCAGCTGTGCCCATCACAGAAGGTCCAAAAGGATTCCAAAGGCTTGGAAGGGCCACCTGGTTGGGAAAATCCACCCTATTTGCCAGCGTGGCCTGGGGCAAAACACCCTCAGGTGGGCAGCTACAGCACCTCTGCACACCCAAAGCACACAGAGAACCTGAGCACTGCAGCTGTCCCAGCAGAGCACCAATCCCAAAATGTGCCTGTGTCTTTCACTCCCAGCCTAGGAGCAATTCCTGTCCCTGGGCTGCAAATCCTGGTCCAGCTCACAACTGGCCGGCCTTGCTGCAGTCCTGCCAGGCCAGCAGCAGCACCATGAGGTCCTGGGGGCTGTCTGGCACCTCTTGTCCTCCCCGTGGCCCCTCACAGACTGGGCAGATTGCTCATCATGCTGGAGTTGCTGGACAGAGGCGCCCTGGGCCGAGCGTTCCAGGCCACGGAGCCGCGGAAGCTGTCCCGGCAGCGCAGGGAGCTCTCCGTGGAGGAGCCAGAGTTGATGTCCGAGATGGCCACGCAGCTGCCGGGCCTGCAGAGCCCAGCCCTGACACAGCAGCAGCACAGCAGGCTCCCCACGGCACGGCGAACCTCCACGCTGCGCAGGGAGTAAATGACGGGATTGACGCCCGAGTTGAGCAGGGCCAGAGCCAGGGTCCAGTCCAGGCTGTGCAGGTGGCTGCAGGCCCCGGTGTCACAGAACACATCGAAGAGCAGCAGGACAAACAGCGGGCTCCAGCAGAGGATGAAGGCCCCCAGGATCATCAGCACCGTCTTCAGCAAGCGCAGGGAGCGCCGGCGGCCGTGCCGGGAGCAGCTTTGCCTGGAGCTGGCCTGCACCAGGTGGAAGATGGAGATGTAGAGCCCGATGATACCCAGGAGGATGATGCTGAACATAACCACGGAGAAAAGGATGTAATCCTTGGAGTAGAGAGGCAGGAGCACGGAGCAGGCCTGGAAATCACAGAGGCAGTTCCAGCCCAGCAGCGGGAGCAGGCCGATGACGAGGGCCAGCAGCCAGCAGGCCACGATGAGGCCGCGCAGGCGCAGGGTCTTGCTGGCCTCGTTCTCCGCGATGGGCCTCACCATGGCACTGTAGCGCTCCACCGCCGTCACCAGCAGGCTGAAGGTGGAGGCGGCCAAGGCGATGAAGAGGATGCCCTCCCTCAGGAACCAGAGCTGCGGGGACAGCTGGAAGGTCTTGCTGCCCGACAGGCAGAGGTTGCAGAGGTAGGCGATGCCCGCCAGCAGGTCGCTGAGGGTGATGCTGGCGATGCAGGAGTAGACCCAGCGCCGGCCCCGCAGGCAGCGCAGCACGGCCAGCAGCACCAGCAGGTTCTCCAGGATGATGAGGCAGCTGATGATGGCGAAGGCCGTGCGGAGCAGCCCCATGCCCTCGTCGCCGGAGTGCCGGGCGGTGAGCTTGCCTGAGAAGTTGTAGTGCTGCAGGATGATGTTCACGTTCCTCGTGGCGGCCAGCTGCAGGCAGGAGGATTTTGTGCCCAGCAGCTGAGCAGAGTCCAGGGGAAGGAGGAGGGAGTGATTCACCAGCCAGCCCAGCACTGGAGCAGCCATCTTCTGAGCCTGGGGCAGCAGTCAGGGGATGCTCGACGCAGGAAGGGGTCAGGTAGAGAGCAGACCCTCTGTCTGAGGGCTGGAGCAGCTGTGAAGCTGAACCCAGCTCTGCTCAGTGGAGGTGAGGGTCAGAGCCCTGTCTGCCAGCCCTGCAGCACTGAAAGAGCAAGGAGAGAGGAGGGTGAGGTGTTTTGTAAGTCCACCCATGAGCATGGGCTTCCTGTTGTTTAATAAAGTTTCCTGTTGTGACTGACAGTATTGACATCTCTTCTAACAGCTGTCATCATTTCTTGGTAAGGGTCTGGTTATTCTCAGCTTTGCTGTGGTTGTGAAGGTGTGACATGAAAGAAGAAACGTGCCAGGGTTGGAGCAGGCTGTGTCAAACAGGGCAACACCTTGATGTGTTGGGTGGGGTCTGGGGGGCTGAACAGATCCAAGTGCTGGTGAAAGCACCCAGACAGCTTGAGACACAAAGTGCCTTGCTTGCTGTGCTACTCAGCTCACCCCTGAGCCTGGCAGAGAGCCACTGCTGCCCTGTGCCATGCCCAGATCATCCCTCTTCCTCCTTCAGGAGGAAGATCCGTGCTGTCACTGCACGGGCCCAGCTCCTGCCACTCTCTCCTGACACATCCAGGATCCCTCTTCCTTCTTCAGGAGGAAGATCCGTGCTGTCACTCTCTCAGAACACATCCAGACACATCCATCCTGTCTGTGCAGCAGCTCCTGGCACCTGTGGGGCTGCAGCTGAGCCTCAGCCCCTCCACTCCAAAGGAAACCAGCTTCTCCAAGCTGAGCACGTGCCCTGACACTCTGCTACACCTTCAACTCACCAAGCACCTGCTGGAGATGGGTCAGGATCCTCCCACAGGCAGGGAAGGAGGCAAAAAGCTGCTGCTTCTCACTTTTGAGGAGGCACAAGGTGCTGAGACCAGAACCAAGGAACGAGAGCATGGCTGAAATGTTGATTTCCAGCATTGGCCTAATTCCTTATGTTGGCAAAACTCAACAGGAGAGCCTTGGAACGTGCTATTCCCAACTGTGGCTGGGAATTTGCCTCAGGACTCACCTGTCATGGATTTTGGGATGCTCTTGCTGCCCGAGGGAGGTTCAGCAGCGTTCTCCAGCTCCTTGTCTGAGGCCCAGCACGGTGCAGGTAGCGGGGACAGCTCCTTGTGCAAAATAAGTGAGGCTTCTACCTATCAAAGTGAAAAAAGGGGAAGTTACAACATCAACCACATTTCTGTGCAGGGTGGACCCCACCCAAATCAGCTGCAGAGTGGCTGAGATGAAAGAAAAGCAGGGCCCCTTTTAACTCAGGATCTCAGCAGAAGCTGTGCCCTGCTGCCCCTGGGCTCTCCCTCCAGACTGCCAGGAAGCCATGGAGATGTCCCCAGGCTGAGAGCAAAGAGCAGTGAGCTCTCCCCTCAGCAGGGAGCTGTCCAGGGAGCCCATCCATCCCTGCGTGGGTTGATCCCAGCCCGGATGGCAGCACAGACAGGAGGAAAATGCAAAGGATGCTCCTGCAGGAAGCCACGTGCAAGCAAGAGTGGCTCTCACCAAAAGCAGAGGGCTCCATCCTCCACCTTCACCCTTTCAGCTGGGGTTTTGGCCTTTTCTATCAGCAGTGTGGAAAGAAGCTCACAGTGATAAGGTCAGCAGATGACCCGAGATTGAAGGAGCAGAAATCAGCAGGAAGGAAGGGCCATGAGCACAGGGCTGCACGTTCAGCACCAGGAGCTCACTCCCAAACCCTCCCCAGACCCCTGGAATCCAAAGGGTCAGAGTGACCCTGGCACATCACCCCTGTGAGCTGTGCTCTTGCCTCAGGGGGAACCTCCAGCTCACGTGTCTGCTCAGGACGGAGCTGGTGGAATGTGGGAAATGGATTTGGAGAGAGTTTTTAGGGCTTGATTTTGGGAAATGGATCTGTAGAGAGGTTTTTAGGGCTTGATAGAAAGTTCTGGGTCTCTGGATCTGGGTCTGGGTTATCTCTGGGTCAGGAAAAGGGTATTGTCCAACAGTGGAATGTTCCTGAAAGATCAGAGGATGGAGAAACTTGCCTTGTCAGGGGCTCTAAGTAGCTTCTCCAAGACTGGCAATGTGTGAGGAGTCTCAGAGAGTTCCTGAGAGATCTGTGGAGAGGATGGGGCAGGCAAACTCTTTTGAGGGCAGGAGGGCTCGAGGCAGATGAGCTGCTGGGACAGCTTGACCCCCTCACCCTTGGTGTTCAGGTTCTCTGGACCAGCAAAACATCGAAGGATCTTCCTAAAAAATGCCCCTTCCACGAACACATCCATGACTGGGGGCTAATGGTGTCTGAGCCCCCATATGAAGAAGTTCCTGCTCTGTCTTGTCCCCGTTGCCCTCTGCACAGTCCCAGCCTGAGCTGGATCTTGGCCCTTCTCCTCTGCTGCCATCCCAGTTCAGATGTTCTTGCTCTGAAGCCAAGTGGGGCAGGGGAGGGACACCCCCTCCTGCAAGGTTTCTCACCTCTTCCTTCAGATCAGAGCCACAATCTGCCTGAAGCTGCCTGGTGGCCCTGACTGCTGGGCTGGGAAGGGCCAGGGGACACACGAGGGACACCTGAAGCCCTGTGGACCTG